AAGTGTTCGTAAAGTCAAGTGTTCGTTAAGTCAAGTGTTCGTAAAGTCAAGTGTACTTGACCCCATGTATTCTCTATGTATTTTCTCTGCGGGGCTCCGCACGGAAGAACCCTTCGCGATGCTTTCGGGAATAGCAAGTAAATAAGCAATAATGATAGTAAGAATACTAACAAGAAACCCATAAGAATAGTAGGCAAATACTAATAGCATTGGAAGCCTCATAAGGTGGGATGAAGGTAAGCAGGATTGAGGATCCCTTATTTGTGGACTCTTATTTTGGGATTACCCCACCTACCTTCATCTCACCCTTGGAGCCCTTTGATAGCAGCGCCGGCCTCGGATAAGGCACTGCCGCCTTTCTGTCCGATGAGTGCATACGAGCTCCTCAGGGCGGCACTTCACGGGTTTAGGTTTAGGGTCTAGCGTTCAGGGTTTAGGGTCTAGTGTCCAGGGTTTTTTGTGGGCCCTTTTCCACCTGCATATCAGACAGAATGTCCATGGTTTAGGGTTTAGGGTGTATAGGGTTTAGGGTTTTGGGTTTAGCGTCTGGGGTTAAGGGTTTAGGGCAGTCTAGGGTTTAGGGTTGAGGGTTTAGGGATCGGGGTGCTTTGAGGGATCCTTCTCAATGCTCGGGCTCGTAGGGATGCTTCAAGGTGTCATACTAGGCCGATGACTATGGTATATGACATATGGGCAGTTCTCTTCATTAGGATCCCTTTTTCGGTCCCAACAATAGTACGGCGCCCTTGTAAAACGGACCCGAAAAGGAGCCCCAATTTAGAGAACCACCCTCATTTCTGATTAGGCATGTCGTGGTGCCTTCAGTCGGGGGGTGCCCTGTTTAGGGTCTCTACATCGATAACATTCCACTGCTATCTGGGGTTCTATAATGGGGCCATTTGTGTTGGTCATCCTAAGTTGCATCCGAGCTCAGGTCCGGCGTTTGGGCGGATTTTCGCTGAATTTTGGTGGATCTGAGCATGCTCCAAATGTCGCGCGCAGGGTTTAGGCCCAAAGCAAGAAGAATTGCTTCATTTTTATTTGAATGGGTTTCCGTGAATACAACACGCTGAGATACTAGCGCACACGCTGAATCGACACGTCCGACATGCAAGCAGCATCTATTCAGGCTTCAGGGTTTTAAAGTTTAGAGTTGTTTGTGGTCTTGGGCTTCGGTGTGCGGTCGACTGCTCTGCAAGAAGCTGGCCTGAACGCCATCTGCTGGATGGACTCGGCCCCACAAGTGGCCATCAATGCTTTGGCCTGCGGGCAGGTATACAAAACCACCGACCAGGTGAACAGTAGAAACCACGAAATCTTCCTTCTTGCATTCAGAACAGCTCCGTGCACACACTCGGGGAGAAGGCTACGTCTTTTCGATAGGTTCTGCCCGCCGCAGGCACGTCCGGGCTCACATGTGCGGAGAGGAAGTCATGTGCTGCTGGTCTTCTAGACAGGACGGTGACAGTACGCACTCGCACTCGGCACCCCTAAACCCTAAACCCTAAACCACCATGAAAAAGCGAGAGGGGGTCCGGTGGCCGCAGCACCATGGAGAGACTCAAGGCCATGCCCAGAACGCCCCCCGCCCGGCCCAGGAGTCTCTTTACTGCCCCCAAGATTTGGCGACACGACGTTAAGCATCTTCTTGAAAATACATTATTCTATAGTTATAGTAAGGAACCCTCAAAAGAGTATAGGTCATTATTTAAGCCATCTCAAAATGTAAGCACGGAACCCCCACACACACACATCCAAAAGGCTTCAGGCGAAGGTCTTCCTGGCTTTGGCGTTGGCGTTCTTCGGCCGACGTCTAAGAGAACTTAGGCTTAAGGACTTGTTTAGGATTTAGGGTTTAGGGTTTAGGGTTTAGGGTATGAATTCCTTACACGAACCCTGAAAGCTCTTCTTAAGTCCTAGGCCCTACGCCCACCGTGTAATCAGTAACCTCAACGACGTCATCTCCAACTCTGCATACAGCCGCAAGCCCCAAACCCTACAAACGAAAAACAAATCCTAAACCCTGAAAACCAAAAAAACTACGCCCTGAAAACCAAAAGAAACAATTAACCCCTAGAACCTATACAAAAATCCGAAGTACAGGCCTGTTGGCTCAGCATGGCGGAAGCCTCATCCACGGCTGCCATGAGGATCCTCAGCCGAACGAAGCGAGGAGTGTTGGGGTTCTAAAGCGGGTCCCTTTTTAGAGGTTCCTTTCAGGGTTCTGTAAGGCCTGTAAGGGCTTCGGGATTAAGGCTTGAGGGCTTCCTGAACCCTAAACCCTAAAGTTTTAGAACAACTTCAATGTTCTCGGGTCTTGGGTTTTTTCGGGCTTTGGTGTGTCTATAGGGTTTAGGGTTTAGGGCTATCTATAGATAGATAGAGAGATAGAAAGATAGACAGACAGATAGATAGATAGATAGCTAGATAGCTAGATAGCTAGATAGCTAGATAGCTAGAGAGCTAGATAGCTAGAGAGCTAGCTTGCTTGCTAGACAGATAGATAGGCAGGATTTAGGGTTCAGGGCTCCATATATATATATATGTATATATATGTATACATACATATTGGGTTTAGGGTTTAGTGCTAAGGTTAGGTTCCACGCTGGAAAGGTTTTGCAGAAATACTCCGGACGGGCTTCAGATTGCCAGCGGCGACGGCGGACAGATAGCCTTCCAGCTTGGACGAATCCTTTGTCGGCTGGCCCGAGACGTGGGTCTAGAGGAAATGGGTCGGGAGGGGTACAGGCTCCAAAGGGAAGCGAAACGGAACATCACTGGGGCGCTGAACTTCGCTGAACAGGTCGGACATTGCAATACAATTGATTTTTTTCTTTATACATAGAATATATATATATATATATTTTTATATTCATATTTACATTTATATTTATATTTATATTTATATTTATATTTATATTTATTTAGATTTAATTTAATTTAGAAATAACTATATAAATAATAGTTTCAACCGATTATTTATTTATCGAGATAAAAAGAACAATCCAAAGCGTGCACATGCGGCTCCACAGCACCAGGCTTAGCTGAGTGTCCACGAAAGTGTCAAAGGTCTCTGTGTGCTTCACCTTCAGGTTTAGGGTTCAGGGTTTAGGGTTTAGGGTTTAGGGTTTAGGGTACGGACCCAGTGAAGTCTCAGACAAGCCGGCCGTTGTCGTGCTCTCAAATCGCTGCATGATGTCACCGTCTCTGCTACACTTGTGGCCCGATTCGTCCTAAGACCCTCCTAAACCTGTTCTAACCCCGGAAAAGTTACACCCGCTCCAAACTCTAAACCCTGAACCTGCTCGAAACCCCAAAACTGGAAACCCTAAACCCTAAACCCAATACCCTAAACCCTAAACCCTGACTCTGCTCTTGCATCGAGGCAGCGATGTACTCGCCCAAGGATCCTGGACGCAGCTCGACGACAGTCAGCCCACGAGCACCCGTCGCGTACAAGAGATACCCTTTCCTGCCGCGAGTGGTTTAGGGTTTAGGGTTTAGGGGATAGGGTTCAGGGTTTAGGGTATAGGGTATAGGGTATTGGGTTTAGGGTATAGGGTTTAGGGTTTAGGGTTTCCAGTTTGGGGGAGTCGGGTCAGAGAAGCTGTGAGCTTCAAGTTCAGAGTGAGGCTTGGGTGTAGGTTTAGGCTTGATACTCTGGAAACGAAGATCATGCACCTGACCTTTGGCTCCCCAAAGCACAACATTTTACTTATCGGCTTTGTAGTGCTGTTGGAAGCTGCCGTAACCCTAAACCCTAAACCCTAAACCCTAAACCCCTGAACCCTAAACCCTAAACCCTAAACCCTAAGCCCTGAACCCAGCCTCCCCAAGCCCGAGAGCGCTCAAGCCCAGCTACCAGCAGCTTTCGTGAACAAGTTTCAAGAGCCCACGCGCTGGCCAAAATCGATTCTGATGAAGCCCGGTAAGGTCTTGATGAATCTAAACCACGCTTTTGATGAATCCCGGTCAGAGTTTGATGAATCTCTCAACTGAATGTTTGATGAGAACCCGTATCATTCTGATAAACCGCGGTAAGAAGTGAGCAATCCTGGTGAGACTTTTTTTACACATCGGCGAGACATCAGGCAAAATCGTACCGGGGTTCGCCACAATCTGGCAGGAAATCTGGACGAATCCCTGGAAAAAAGAATGGTGGTGAGTCCCCTCAAAACCCTAAAGGTTGACCCGTACAGAAGTGAGAGAGGTTTAAGGTTTGGGGTTTAGGGTTGTTCTCCCAGCTGCATTTAGGGGATACAAGTACTAGCAGCAACTAACAGTTCACTAACAGCTACTATCAGAAGATCTCGGACTTGCGCAGCCAGGTCTCAGCCAGAACTGGGCGTAGTTGCCGTCGGAATACCCCGCGCTGCGCACCACGATGGAACCTTTGCCTCAAGACTGTTTGAAGGATCAAAGGGATTTCGTCACTTAGGGTCATGAAGAAGCTAACTATGCTGATGACTTATGATTAGTCAAAAACCAAATTAAAGTACTTTTTTCGTAACCTTACTCACCAAATCCCCTCCTCCACGTACCATGGCCCTTCTCTGGGAGTTAGGATTCGGGGGGACCCTTGAGGATATAGACCCTCTCAACAAAGGTCCTTCCTCTGAGAGCCAGAAGTAGGGTTAAGAACAACCTAGGATCGGAGAAACAGCACTCGAAGACGGGGAGCTGTAGCGGGAGGGTGGGGACTATACTTCCTTAGATAAGCCTTATTAGGGGTATTAAGGCCCCCTCCCCCCTAAACCCTAAACCCTAAACCCTAAACCCTAAACCCTACACCCTTGCCCCTCCTAAGGGTCCTTTAAAGCAACGCTGCACCAAGGCACCGCTGCCCAGCGCGTCGCAGCATGTGCCCTGGGTGCTTTTTGAAGAAGCTAATGGGCTTTGGGATTTATAGGGTTAAGGGTATAGGGTTTAGGGTTCAGGTTTAGGGTTTAGGATTTAGGGTTTAGGGTTCAGGTTTAGGGTTTAGGGTTTAGGGTTTAGGATTCAGGCTTTTGGATAACTGATTTCAGATTTGACCCTGCTGGCCGGCCGGCTTACCCTAAACCCTAGCATGCCCCGTCCCCTTCTGGGGGTTTAGGGGCCTTAATAAT